GAGACGATGGCAAGGGATGTAGATTAGAAGTGACTGTCTCAGGTCCTTCGGAGGAAGCAGACTGGCTGCAGGGCAAGCAGTTCCCAGCCTCTTCCTGGTGGCCAAGTGCATAGATAGGCTGGAGTTCTACAGAGAGAGGCTGCATCGTCCCGCCTCCTCCCCCAGGACTAACCTATCAGCGAGAACTTCAAGCCTTGCCCAGTGCATGGCATACAGCGGGCACTCACTAAATGAATACTGAATGAGAGAATTCATTTCCTTAAAGCTGGGCATCTCCTTTTTTTCACAGAATGCTGTTATGAGTTGAACTCTGTCCCCTCCAAATCCGTATGTTGAAGCTCTCGCTCCCATTACCGTAGACTGGGACCTTATTTGGAGACAGGATTTACAGAGGTAACCAAGTTCAAATGGGAGCCTTAGTGTTGGCCCTAATTTAACATGACTGGGGTCTTATTGTTGTAAAAGCTGGAGATAGATATGAACCCAGAGAGAGCAGCATGTGGACATGAAGGTGGAGATTGGGGTGATGCTTCTATAAAGCCAAGAAAAGCCAAAGATTGCCACAACCCCCGAAGGTGGGGGAGAGGCATGGAACAGACTGTCCTCACAGCCTCAGAAGAAACCGACCCTGCCAACACCTTGATCTTGGACCTCTAACCTCCAGAACTATAAGAAAACAAATATCTGTTGTTTAAGGCGCCCAGTTGGTGGTGTCTTGTAACTGCTGCCCTAACAAACTAATACATTCACTTTGAGTGGAGACCTCTGTCACATGACCCCCAAAGCCCCTGGTCTTCTCAAATTTCTCCTCCCAAAGAACATAGTCTGTATCCTTCCCCTTCCTGCTGGATGCTGCCCACTCACAGCCTCTTGGAAAATGTTTTTTTCTGAGCCTTCCTGTCTAGTGGGTGGCGCGTCACATCCCCCTCTCTGAGGTCCCAGCAGGACCCGAAGCACACGCTGGGAAGAACAGAAACGTGATGGGCCAGGCATCTCCCCTCCTGGGCTTTCCCACCCTCTGCACGTCGCCTGTTCCTGGGGTTGAACAGGTGACACGTGCACAGACATCCAGGATGACAGCTGGAGTGGGAGCAGCCGGGGATGCCTCCCACGGGGGACAGCGTCATTATCACAACACGGGCTGGCTGGGAAGGAGCAGACGGCGAGTCCTGAGGGGGTCCTAACCTGAAGTTTATGCAAACTGGGAAATTCGATAGGCTGTAAGACTTGTCTTACATGAAACCTCCATAAGAGATGGGTCTCTAGGGGTGGGCTTGGTTGTCATGGAGACAGCGGGGGGTAAGGGGGCGTTAAGGAAGAACACAGCTGTTCATCTAACTAAACTCGGGCCCACTCCTTTTCCTAAAGCAGAACTCGTTCATTTGGGGCATCTCATTGAGTTGCCTGCCCCTGGAAAGGTCAGCACCCGTTCCAGCTCCCCTTCGTTTCCAGCTTTGGAAGTTCTGCAGCCCCCAGCAGCCTTCACAGCTGTCATAGCATCCTCCTCTTTCCACCCCTCAAGAAGCCTCTTCATAGGAAATGGCTTCTGTTGGCACGTGGGCTTGCACTGAGGGGATACCCATAAGGGCCGAGACAAGGAGGAGAAAAAAGGCATAGACCTCATAGAATTCCAGGGACAAGGAGGAGATACAGGGCATGGATCTCATAGAATTCCAGGGATAAGGAGGAGAAAAAGAGCATGGGTCTCATATAATACTAATTATTAAAAGAAAGACCTATCCTAATGTCAAGGAATTGGCCAAAAAGCTGAGGTAAAGAAAATAAGTTAATTCTTCTTAAAAGTTACTTCAAACAAGTTATACATTTTGGGCAAAAAAAAAAAAAAAAAAGCCATAGAAATGAGGTCATGTTCTTAGCACATCCTATGGAGGGGCACATGAGGCTGGTTTCCCCATTCCTAAGAAGTTAACTTTGATCCCGTGGCTGAGGTTGCGTGTGCCAGGTGTTTTTGCTGTGAAGTTAGTATTTCTTATTGTAATTCATAAGTATCTTGGGGGAGATAGCTTGAGACTATGTACATATCGTATTTCTCATCATACTTTCATCCACTAATTTTAACATTCATTGGCCATTCTTGCCTCAAACAATTATCACTGTGAATTTTGCAAACGATGGTTTTTCTATTTCCATAATTCCCTCTACATTTCGGAGCTGAAATTCTAGTATAAAGAAGAGCTTTCTCTCTCCTCCATGAGTTGTTTATTTATATCACTGAGGACCATCAATTCTTATTTTATTCTATTGCTTATAGCCCATTAGGATCATTATTTATTTTCTTGCTAAGATTGCCGCAGATTTGCCCATTGGGGCCAAATCAAGTTGGCCCCTGTGCCCTTTTGACATGTAACCTACAATTTTTTTCTTTCAGTGCTCACTGCCAGAAACATATAACCCGAATTTAATCATGAAGAAACATCGGGCAAATCCACAAATTGAGGAACAACCACAAGATAATTGGCCTGTATCCTCCTTCGACACTATCAAGGTCATGAAACACAAAGAATGATCAGAGCATGAAGGGGACATGACAATGAATGTCACCTTTGACCCTGGGCTGGATCCTGGACCAGAAAAAAAGGACTTCAGAGGGACAACAGGCAAAATGTGAATGAGGCATGTATAGGAGATGGCATTATTGTATCAACGTTAATTTCCCGATTTGATAATTACATTGTGGTTATGTAAGATGTTAATTTTAGAAAATCTGGGTGAAGGGTACATGGCAGTTCTATTTTTGTGCCTTTTGTTAAGTCTGCAATTATTTCAAAAGTTAAAAAAATTGAAAATGGCTTTTACAGGGAAAGGAGGATAGGTTGGAAGGAGGAGATGTAAAGTGAAAGAAAATATTCCTGATAATAGTGGGTCAAACATTCTAAGCCTGGGTCCTCCTTCCCCCCATGCCCTGTCCAGAATGATCTGCCCACAGTGGCTTGGGACACAGCATGGATTTGTCTCTCCAACAACATGCACTTTCCTTTCTCCACGGCCTCTGCTTGAAAAACACCAACAGGAGACCCCACTGCTCAGGGCCTCTGGCTCCTGCTGCTATGTTCTCTGGGAAAATCAATTATAGCCTAATTACCTCAGGGGGTTAATTAGCATCGTGTAGCTGGGTGTCCTCTGTGAGCAGAGCAGCCTGTCAGTCCCCGGTCAGTGAGCAGGGGCGGTGGAGGCAGAGGTTTCCCGGGGAGAAGCCTGCTTTGGGGCTTGGGGGCGGGGGGCCTGCCAGTCAGGGAGTAGACACATGGGGCTGGAGCAGCAGCCAGGGTTGGCAGAGGTGGGAGGTGATGGTGGAGTCCCCGGCTCATTTAAGAGCCCCGATGACACAGGCACAGAGACCTAGAGGCCACAACTGCATCAACAAGAAGAATTACAGACCAGAGCACGTTTCAGGCCAACAGCTGCTGGAAATCATGACAATCGGGGTGAAGGCGTGGAGCCCTGAGCAGGTCGGGGAGCCAGCTGACTGAGAGCAGAGGCTGGGACAGCCCTGTAAGCATTCTTTCCTGCGAGATAAATAAATGCACAGGGGAAAGCCAGTGGGCCCTGTCACTGGCCACATCCGAAAGTGCAATGGGATTGGAGAAGCCCAGTCTTTGACAGGCAGTGTCTCTTTACAGTCTCAGAGCACCTTCCTATTGGTTGCCCGAGGGCCTGGGTGCAGAAACCACCTGGCCCCAGCATTGCGTTTCCCCTGGGATATGCTTCCCTGTGGATGGCTGGCCTCTATCTGGTCCATAGCAGCTAGACAGGTCAGATATACAGGAAGGGGAAGCACCACTGCTTGTTTTATGTTACTTGAGCAAAAATAGTAAAGTGAAAGCTTTAAAAATGGTTTTATAATTAAATACATCCAAGCTAAAATTGGGGCTCTGACACTTAACGGCTGTGTGAACTCGGGCAACTCACTCCCTTCCTCTGAGCCTCGTTGTCTTCATCTGTCAAATGGAGCTGAGAATGGATGTGAGGACTGCCTGAGACCGTGACAACCAAAGCCACTACATGAATATGTGCTCACTCTCCAAATGACCCAGCTGTAGGTGAACAATATTCGTTTGCTCTCAAGGGTTTTCTTTTCTCTGCTCTGCATCTTGGATATGATCATAAGGATGCTTCAGAGGTTTCCCAGGACCCGGCAACACAGGGGAGAGCAGAGGTGCTTTCTTTGGCCAGAAGTGAAAAGGAGGCAGGAAAAGGGACAGAGCTTCTGCTCAGAAAAGAGGTAGAAGAGGAGCGGCCTGTCCCTGCCTTCTTCAAACACAGACCACGGTGGTACCTGCCCAGGCCTTTTTATGCCTCGTAACCAGAGGAACGTTCAGTTAGTTTCGTGGCACAGGTGATAGTCAGCAAGTTGGGAGCAGTGAAGAGTGATGAGTACGTGAACGCCAGCAACGTTAAATTCAACTATGCCTCTCCCAGGCCGTTCAAACCCCAGCAGCTGCATTTCCGTGCACATCACCTATTCATCGTCCTTTGCAATTTGCTATTCAGGACACATCATTTTTCCCCAGGATAATTAATTACCTGTTTCTTCCCATTAAAATGCACACACAACTTGGGACAGAGTAAACCCTGGGAAATGGCATGGTGGCTGATGGAGCGCCTGCCTTTACTTCCTCCGTGTTCAACTGTGCAACTCGGAGCTAATCTCAGCTGCTGAAATCGCATTTCTGCTGAGAAAAGCGAAACCTGCTTTCTGAAACGTTCACCGGCTACGTGGCCAATTTCCCATCCAGTGCCGCCCCCGCTTCCCGGCCAGCAGGCCTGGCTCTGCCTCCCTTGTTGGGTGCACGCACACTCTTGCACAGGCGCGAGGGCACACTTCCATACACTCGTCACTGACCCCTGGACGTGGGCCATCGAGATACTCCCGAGAGGCCAAGAATTCTTCCACAAAGGCTCAGCTGGCGCTCCTGTCCCACTGCCCTGGGGTCAGCTCCTGGCCATCCCATTCTGCTCTGGAACGCGGGGGGACTCACCTCGGTGATCTGCGGGTTGGAGCACTTAACGTTGTGGCTGGACCAGTCGAGCCAGGGACTGGAGGGGCTGGCACAGTGCTGGTGGAGGGTGCACCTGCGCTCGCCGCTGCACCAGCCGCACTCAAACTTCCGGTCGGCCTTGAGGCACAGGCCGCAGCTCTCCCGCTGGGCCGCGCACTTGTAGAGGTGGACTGCAAAGACAGGGGGGCGGTCTCAGAGGGGGTGGGACGGGGCCTCCCACAATTTACCCTCCTCTTACAGGTGTGACAGAAACGTCCCCAGCCACAGATAACATCAATAATCATTGCGATCACTGCAAGAACAATTGATGAATAATTAACAATAAATGGAACATCTTAGCAACCATTTCAAGGCAATACAGAGCTCTAGCTGGTTTGGCTCAGTGGATCAAGCGTTGACCTATGAACCAGAAGGTCATGGTTCCATTCCAGTCAATTGCGGGCTCCATCCACAGTAGCGGACATGATCCACAGTAGTGGGCATGCAGGAGGCAGCCAATCAAGGATTCTCTCTCATCACTGACGTTTCTATCTCTCTCTCCCTTCCTTTCTGAAATCAACAAAAATACATTTTTTTTTAAAAAAAAAAAAAATAAAGGCAATGCAGCAAATAAGATTATTTAAAAGTTCTGGCTCCAGATTGAATCAGATGAGGGCTTTAATGGAGGCTTCACCCCTCCTTAGCCACGTGACAAAGACTTTGACCTCTGGAACCTTGTTTACTTAATCCATAACATGGGGATAATTGTCGTTTGCTGTGAGGTTTGAGTGAGATGTGATATATTCAGTGCTAAGCACTGGGCCTGTAACATACCTGATGTTCTGTACCTGCTTGTTATCTTTTCTTTGAACACACACTACCTTCTTATGCTGGTACCTCTCTGACTCACATGTGGCCTCATCCTGAGATGGAAAGACTAACTTCCCCATTTCACATAAAAATGCAGCTCAGAGCTCAGCCGGCATGGCTCAGTGGTTGAGCGTCAACCTATGAACCAGGAGGTCACGGTTCGATTCCTGGTTGGGGCACATGCCCAGGTTGTGCGCTTGATCCCCAGTGTGGGGTGTGCAGGAGGTGGCTGATCAGTGATTCTCTCTCATCATTGATGTTTCTATCTTTCTTTCCCTCTTCCTTCCTCTCTGAAATAAATAAAAATATATTTTTAAAAAAATGAAGCTCAGAGACTTGTTCACTCTTAGAGCTCACTAAGGTGAGTGCCCCAAGCTGGGATCCTGAAATTCCAACTGGCTGTGTTGCTGGACTGCAGGTCCTGAGCAGGGAGGCACCTGGCCCCGGGCACAGTGGGAAGTGGTGGTCAGGGAGAGGCGTCAGAAAGGCCTGGCGGCTGGCAAAGTAGAGGCAGCCCTGATGAGGAACAGGGTTACCACAGCCCTGTTCATGGCCCTGTGGATGGAGAGGCTGTCCCCAGAGAGGACAAAGTGGCCACTGAGCAGGTCACTTTGAAGTCTGCAAACCCATTGCTGCTGCTATGGCATTTCCTGACTTAGAAGCCCTTGCCCGGCCAGTTAGCAGGCTTGTGAGCCTGGGGTTTAGTTGTTGCCTGCTGGTGTTTTGAACTCAGAGTTCCAAGTAGAATCTATAGAAGCAGAATACTCGGAAAGTGGTTTTCAACTCAAGTCAAGCAGACACAGCTTTCAGGAGTCCTGGCGTGTCTCCGCGGGAGGCCGTGTACATGCCCCAGGGAAGGCGTCGTTTTTCATTCTTCCCACAGGTTCCCATCCTGTTCCTCTGCTCTGTCCAGCATCCCCAGTCCCAGCTGTAGGGACTAGATTTAAACCTCCACCTGCCATGGCTTCCTAGGGTAGGAATCCTAGAAGACGGGAGTCTTACGCTGAGCAAACACACACTGAGCATTTGTCGCTGTGCACACATGGGCCATGTCTAGCTCTCATGGGATGCTCAGGATGACCTTGAGAAAAGGGCATCCTTTCCCCCTGGCACAGATGGGGAACCTGAGGCAGAGAGAGGAACGGTAATTAGCCCGAGTCCACACTACTGTGAGTGAAAGAGACAGGACGTGACCCTGGCTTGTTAGAATCTAGAACGTGAGTCCTCAAACACCATGGCCTCTTCCACCCAGCACGGTGCATAGCTCCAGGATCACTGGGGCTGTGGGAGGGAGACGGAGGTGAAGATGGCATTGCCCGTGCACTCAAGAGCTGCTTAAAAGTTGTCCCGCACCGCAAGGGAGGGTGCTGATGCGACAGCTTGGATGTGGCCATGTTTCTTTCAGCTCCAGGTGCACAGGCAGCCTCTGGGAACCGAGCCTAGAAGCTCAGCAAGGGAAACGTCTATCTCTCAGCACTGAGAAAATGTGGCCTGGGTATGAGGAGAAAGAGGAAAACCCCCAAACCTGCCCTGGCTCAGTTTCTCTCCCCCAGTGCAGGCAGCGTCCGGGACAGGGAGCTGCAGCCCATGGATCCGAAGCCTTTGCAGGCCCTGCTGTGGCCTTGGTCTCCCTCTCGGTGTCCCTGCGGTGACCCTCAGGCACAGGGAGAGGCCTGTGGCAACCCTAGCTGTTTGAACTGTGGTGAGGCATGTGGCTCACAGGGGCGGGGGGGGGGTGGGGGGGTGGGGAGTGTTCTGGGGGAGGAGGCGTCACACCCCACAGTGGCCTCAGTCACTAAGAAGGAAGAGATGTGTTTCAGCGTGAGCTCTGACATCAGATTCTCGTGGTTCAAATCCTGGCTCTTACTAGTTGACTCTTGGTCCATTTCTTTCCTTTATTTTTTCCAGCTTTATTGAGGTAAATTGACAAATAAGATTGTATCATATTGAAATCGTGATGCTGTGCTATACGCATACACAAGGCAAGGATTCCTTTCATTTAGTTCATTAACACACACAGCCTTCACCATACACATAGTGAGAACATGTAAGTTCTGCGCTGCTTGCAAATTTCAATTATACGACACGGTGTTATTAACTAAAGGCACCATGTTTTACATTAGATCCTCAGATCTTTCTCATCTTCTAGTTGAATGTTTGTACCCTGTACACACCTCTCCCTGGTTCCCCCAGTCCCCAGCCCTGGTAACGACTCTTCTACTTCCTGTTTCTATGAGTTTGCCTTTTGTTTGTTTGTTTAAGATTCTACATATAAAGATACCATACAGTATTTGTCTTAAAAACACAAAACACTTTGTGAATTGGCACATTGGTGCAGGGCCAGGCTATATATAGCCTGCATCATTTCAGTCTTAGTATAGGTGCTGTCGAAGTGAGCACTCTCGGTCCATTTCTTAACCTCACTGGGTCTCGGTTTTTTAATCTATAAAATTAGCATAATACTGGTGCTTACCTATCCGGGTTGTTGCAATGATTAAAAAAATAATTTCAGCCTGGCTGGCATGTCTCAGTATTTGAGCACTGACCTATGAACCAGGAAGTCATGGTTCAATTCCAGGTCAGGGCACATGCCCGGGTTGTGGTTTCGATCGATCCCCAATGTGGGGTGTGCAGGAGGCAGCCAATCAATGATTCTCTTTCATCCTTGATGTTTCTATCTCTCTCCCTCTCCCTTCCTTTGTGAAATCAATAAAAATATATTAAAAAAATAATCAATGTGTGCTCATCAAATTGGAGGTACCTTTGTCATTCTTGAGAGCATGATGGAATGTTGGTATTAACTGAACTGAGGGTAGCACCTGCCTGGCACATAGGAGGCGCTGCACATGATGAATGAGGGTGAGCCTCCGGGAGAGTCCCCCTGCATCAGCCCAGCTCCTTCCTGAACTTCCTGCGCCAGCTGTGCACTTGAGTCCCCACGCTGGCCTCTCCCACCCACCCCAGGACCAGGGGAGCAGCTTTGAAAACCTTCTTTGTGCAAGGACGGGGCCAGAACCTGATTGGAAACAAGATCCCCATTTTCCAGGGAAACTGGTGGGACATTCCGCCTGCTGCTCTCCTGGGTCAGGTTCCACAGACACTTCAAAGTCTCTGGGAGCCGAAGAAAACCGCGATGAGCCGGCAGCCACAGCGGATGCTCTGGTTGTAATAAAACAGGGATCCCCACAGGACTCCTTTGATGGCTTCCAGTGTTGCTTTCGGACCCTCGGCAGAGTTCCGCTGACAGAGGTAGTGTGTTATTCATGGCACAGCGGCCGCACGCTCCGATCTCGCCAGCCCCGGTCCTTCCCAGGGCCACGGACGGATCAAAACTCTACCCAGAAGCAGCCGCTTACCTTTCAGGTCCTGAGGGTTGTCGATGATGAAATTGCCATTCCACACCACGGCAAAGTCCACGGCCAGGTTGCTGATGTCCATCCCATCGTACTGGTACTGCGGGGGAGGGCAGAGGCACATGCTGGTGAGGTTATGACGGGGGGCAGGGATGCTGGGCGTCTCAGGGGACCGGAACTACAGCAGGAAAGAAGCTAGGGACCCTGGTTCCCTGGGCTGAGAAAGCAGCAGCGGGCCAATCCGAGGAACCCCATGTGCCGCTCAAATATCTCTGTGGCCCACCACCCTGGCTCCCAGTCACTAAGGCCAACAGGATCCAGGTCAAACCCCTTAGCTCGGCAGTCAGTGCCTTCCAGGTCCAAACCGACTCCTCCAACCTTCTCTTCCTCTGCTCTCCTCCAGAAGTCTCTGAGTCCACTTCACTGCAAACCGACTCGCCCACGTACTCCCCTCCCCCCCACCCCGCCCCCGTGCCTCCATTCCCTCCTCACAAGGAATGCCCCCCTCTCCCTATGACATGGTCCTTCCCCCCCTTTATCTTCCTGGTCTAGCTCAGACTCACCTTCCCCAGGTGTCTTCTCTGACACCCCAGCCAGCCCGCCCCAGGCTCTCTGTCCCCTGGGGTTGCCAACTTCTGCCTTTAACCCAGGACTGCTTTGCATGGTTCCCCGTGCAAGTCTACTCTCTCCAGAGGTGCATGTGCTGCCTGTAAACCCCAGAGCCTTGAGCAGAGCATGTGTGTAACACACGGTTGGCTGGGCCCTGCATGGTCCTTTCTTCCTGCACGTGAGCTGGACCTTGGTCAGCACTCTGCTAGGGAAGGGCCCAGAGCCTCACGGGCGGATACCTGATCAGTGCTGCCACAAACGGCCTCAAGCTGTGGCCAGGAGTCGATTCTCTATGGTGCTGACCCCACAGAGGACATGTAACCCCCCACACACACGTCAGAAATCGCCTCTCTCGGTGGCCCAGGCCCTGTGTCTTTGTGAAGGGGACCTCTGGGAACCCCCTCCGTGGGGACCGCCCCAGCCCTGGCCACTTAGCTCTCAGGGCATGTCCCCATCAGCCCTTTTGCCCGGAGCCCCTCCTGCCACCTTCTCCCTTTGTTGTTCCATTTCTTTCTTGTCCCAACTTCCCTTTGTGCTTGGCGGCCTTCCACCGATTACAAATTCCATCAAGCGCCTGTGACCCGGCAATCTGACAGCTCCCTGATAAGCGGCCCAGATCCTCTTTATCTCTCCCGGGCGAATTAGCTTCCCTCAACACCTTTGTCATGTCACCCCCATCTCCCGCTGACCTCCCACCTGCGGAGACAGGGAGTTGGCAGATAGAAGATCTTCTCCGGGCTGCTATTATAATTAAACACCTCGGGCTTTCTGTCTGGCCTTCGGAATTGGTTGAACCCTGGCTGCTCTTGAAACTCACGGCCTCCACTTCCTTCCTTCCCGCCTCCCCCCATCCCATCCTGCTTCCTGCTGGTCGCTCCCGTGCAGCGCCCTCCTGTTGGTTTATCCACTCCCCAAACGGGGACGGGGTTTGCAGGGTCTGACCGGCTTTGGCTGAAGTTTCGCCAAAGTCCTCGAGAGGCACCCATCCAACTCAGAAAGGGCACAGAGCACTCCAGCTCCTCTGACACCATCGCCTGATCTGTGCTTGCCGAGGGGCTGGTGTGCATGCCTACTCCTCTGTCCCCTGCCTCTGGGATCGGCCTGTGGACCTGGGAGGTTCTGGAAGCTGGGGCAGGCCAGGCCGAGGCCTTGGCAGGGGTGAGAGAAGCCTGGCTCCCGGCAGGGCCCAGGCCCGAGTCCTCTTACCGAGCTGTTCTGGCACTGGACACTGGAGCTGTTGAAGCGCAGGGCGGGGACCCGGTGGACGGCCCCCTGGATGCTGAGGACACACTCATAGCCTCGCTGGCCAGACTGAGGCTGGGGCAGGTTTCGAGCCTTAAGGGTGATGGGCTTTACTTCCCCGACGGGTATCAAGATCTCCTCCGTGGGCACCAGCTGGGGACAGTCCTGGGGGAGCAAGCAGAGAGATTCCGTCTGTCCGGCTCACGCCTTCCTGCTCACCTGAGCCAGGGCAGAAGACAGGGCCCGATGCCAGGCCCAGACCCTCTGGTGTCCAGGTGGGCTGCCCAGGAGAAAGACATGCCTCTCTCAAGGGGCACGTGGAGTCAGCAGGGAAAATGAAATCGATCTCTTAACTCCTGGCCTTGACACTGTTATTCCTAACCCACGAGTTGTCCTGGATCTGGAATGTGTGAAACCCTTTAGGAATTAATTTCCAGGCACTGGTGTGGCAGGCTGCGGATTTTATCTCCCGAGACACAGGATGAAAGAGGCTCCATGGGCCCCTGCCTCCAACCTGGAACCCCCACCTCTCGGTTCCACTCATCTCCCCAGCCGCTTGCACAGTCCCCGCCTGAGGCAGTCTGTTATCAGTGGCCTCAGCTCCCAGCTCCCACTGCGGCCTTTCCAGGAGGCTGGTCAGCCTCCCAGCAATGCTCTAAACACTGGCTCTGGCCTTTTATCTCATTTCATTACCAGGCCCTGCATGGAAGCCGCGTTGCTTTGAGAACAAAACTGAAACACACACACACATACACACACACACACACACACACACACAGGTCTTGATGGGGAGAGGCTCTGAGAAGGACCTTGAGAAAGGAAGTGATTGCTTTTCCGTATTTCTCTTCCTAGATGTTACTTCTCCAGCTCCCCGCAGCCCCGATCCCCTGCCCACTTTCTCCCTCACCAAGGAAGACAGAGTCCAGAAGCCTCGCTCAGTGAGGACCTGGCTGTCATCTCCCCCTGCAACCATTTCCTGTTTTCAGGGATCAACTAGGGAAATTCTGGAAGATGATGCCTCTCCCTATCCCCTTCCCGTCCGCTGCGGTTCCGGTTCGCAGAGGGAGCGTTGGGGAGTCCGTGGGGTTGATGCCCTTACCCTGCAGAGGGAGCTACTGGCATTGAGTGCCTGGGGGCACAGTCACAAGCAATACATTGTCCTAATGCTGGCAGCGAGCCTTAAGGCCCAACACTGCTCAACAGGCAACGGTTAGCAATGGGCAGCCTTAGAGGGAACGGGGAGAGCTGGGCTTAGGCAGGCTCTTCCTCTCTCTGGGCCTCAGATGCAGGCCCTTCACAACCTGGCCCCTGCCTACCTCCTTCGCTGCAGGTTCTTGTGCATCAGGGTCCAGCCATGTGAGCTTACGATTAGTTCTGAGGGGCCAGCCTTACTCATCCACCTCTGGTCCTTGGAAGGTACTTTTCTCTCTATGGGAAACACTCACTCCTACCCCCACCCCCCAATCTTCCTCCTGGCCCACCTTTAGCTAATTGCCTCTAATTAGTCTGCAAACTCAGCATCTCCTTCTTTTTCTTAAAAATAATTTTTATTGTTTTCAGAGAGAAAGGAAGAGGGAGAGATAGAAACATCAATGATGAGAGAGAATCATTGACTGGCTACCTCCTGCACACCTCCCGCTGGGAATCAAGCCCTCAATCCAGGCATGTGCCCTGACCAGGAATCGAACTGTGACCTCCTCCTGGTTCATAGGTCAACGCTCAACCACTGAGCCACACTGACGGGGCAGCATCTCCTGCTTTGGGAAGCTGTCCCTGACCCTCTCCCTGCACTGGCCTCCAGGCTGGGTTACGGATATCCTCCCCTGATCACATCTAGCCCTCAGAATTGGGTTCTGGTTGGCTTGCCTTTCTCACTGGTCTGTGAGCCTTGAGGATCAGGCTCTGTGTCCCCAGTCTTTACCCCAGTTCCTGACAGGTAGTGGATGCCTGGTCATTGCTTCTGGGAGGGTAAATGAAAAATGAGAAAACAAAGCAGCAGACAAAAAGATCTCTAACTTTCCTTCTAGATCTTATTTCTAGATTCTTTACAGAGGAGGGGACAGCCCTGCCTTCTGGACATCAAGACACCTGAGAAGGAGTTTGATTCCCAAAGCTGGGTTGGAAGTGGTCATTGTTTCTACAATCACACAATTACCAACTTGGCATGCCTGTGTCTATTAAGAAATCTGAGGATTTACGAAAAGCTGGACCCAGGGGAAATTTCCCATGGAAACCTATCTAGGAGGCCTGCAGGAAGCTCCAGGTGCTACCCCTGGCCTGCGGGTCAGCTGCACGCGAGGACCCAAGTAGGCGAGGTTTCCACGAGAGCCGGGGTCACAGGGCGACCCCAGACAGAGGGGTCCCTGTTCAGAAGCCAGTCACTCAAGCTGCCAACTCATAAACTTGCTCTTTGCCGAGTTTTCACCTTCATTCCCTGCGGGTACTCTTGACAGAGTCTTTCATATATTTATAGCCAAGAAAAAAATAAACACCACTTTAGGGAAACCCAGGCACCCTATGGAAAAGGCGGTACTGCTTCCTGTGAGTGGCTAAAAAAAAATCCCCATGGAGTCTAATAAATTGGAATGTTAATTTAGACTAGAAATGAGGCTGAGGTACAGTGTGTGTGTGTGTGTGTGTGTGTGTGTGTGTGAGAGAGAGAGAGAGAGAGAGAGAGAGAGAGAGAGAGAAAGAGGTGTGTGTGGAATAAATCTTCAGACTGGAACTAGTTGACATATTGTAAATGATGGCCATTGTTTTTCATCTCTAATGAGCCCAGAGAACAAATTCAAATTCCAGTAGCAGAGCATTAAAGATATGCTTTTGGAAGTAAAATGTCTTGGGTTAGTAAACAGGACTGTAGAATCCTTTTAACTTTGACAAAAATAGATACTTATATAGGGATTTGTTTTATTATGTGTAATATTATAGATGCACACACGTGTACACATCCTTGCTCTTTGTCTGGGCTAAATCTGATTCAGTTTGGAGATTAAAGAATCAAAAGAAGAGACTTCATGAGGGCTCTTAGGAGTTCGTTTGTTTTTTCTTAAGAAATTCTAAACATTTTACAAAAATTCCTTATGGTCTGCTGTTTCAGACCTTCTGGCACTACATTTAAAGACAATGATCAGGGGCTTCCCAAATGCCCAAACGGGCTCCCAGATTGCCCCAGGAGACAAGGATGTCTTAGGCTTTTGCTTGTGTATTTGGCTGCTTCTCTCAGGCCATAGAGAGTAGGATTCGTACTGCTAGTCTCTCGAGCAAAAGAAAAAAATGGTTAGTGGCCAGGTACACTGCCTCCTTGGGAAACAGGGGAAGACAGGGACCTCCGGGGCTGGCAGATGCTCTGGAGGGTGCAGCACCGAGGGGTCAGTGAGTTGTGGGTGGAAATCAGTGGCCAGGGCTGAAGGCAGGCGCAGTGGAGCGGGTGGCCCAGAAAGTTGCCGAATTGTCGGAAATGCAATACCTCTGGGACTTGAGGAAGGTGATGGCTTTCATCAGCTACAATGAGGCCTCTCCAACCTGTTTGCTTCTGTGAGCGCGCGCGCACACACACACACACACACACACACACACAGTTCCTGTCCTAATAACAAGAGACAAAAAACCATGCCATGCTTCTTCTTCCGTGGGATGTAAGGACTGTCGTTAACATCAATAAAATGCCCATTGCTACTACTGGCCCCCTGAGCGTGGACCGGCCTCTCTAGGTCATGATATTCTTCTGTTTATAGGCAGCAGCATCACCTCCTTAGCAGCCACCCGAGTTGCCATCAGCATGAACAGATGTATCTGGGAATACCCCAGGGGCACGGGGAGCCGGGAGGAGGCAACAGGAGCACAGGGAGGGCAGGACCCTGTCACAGGAGCCCCATGGTCTTAGGGTGGCATTGCCCTCCCGTTTAGCTGAGCATCGCCAGCGTTCAGTGCTGGGGACCCTCCACCCTCCGAGACGACTTCTCCCACGTGAAAATGGCATTATCTTCACCCACCGGACTTCAAAGAGCGAGAGCAGCCAGCATCCTGGGCAGCTAATCGGATTTATTTGGTTCTATCTTTCCCCTGGGGCAGGGCATAAAGAAGATATTTATGTATCTACATCTAACTAGGCCTGGCTTAGCCATGGAGGGAGATGAGCTTTTAAAGCTGAAAGCCATGCATACTCCCGTGCACTCCACTTGCTAACACCATGTCGCAGCTGGATCCAGCCCGGGGAGGCGGAGATTTGGGGGCTCCTGTCAGAGATCCGCTGTGCTCTAAGCCAGGAGGTGAGGGTGGGGTGGGGGGGAAGTTCAAGAGATGGTTCAACTGCAATTCCATTTCCTCATCTAGAAAATGGGGCTGATAATGACAAGAGCATGCATGAAAGGGTATAAAAGTATGTCATAAATGGTAATACACGGGATGAACAAGGTTAATATTATTCCTGTGTATTTCTCTCATGTTTATACCTAAACCTCAGTTTATTTTTCCATAATAGAGTCCATTTCATAGAGTAAATGAGATATACAGATATTTAAAATATTGCTTGTATAGTAAGCACTCAATAAATGTTTACTGCGGTGTTTTCATTTTTGCACCGCATTCGCTCCAGAAGAGCGGTTCCTTGTTGTCAAGTCCCTGCATGGAGGTGGGCCACCAGCCCTCTGGAAGGAAGTGGGCTGGTGGCTCTCTCTGGGTGTGGCACTACTGACCCACCTTCCAGGGGCAGTTTCTCCATCCACGGAGAAGGGTCCCTCACAGCCTGAACCCTTAGGACCGACAGCAACGGGCCAGACTGAGTGTGGCTCCAGTGTGGCTGTGGCCATGCAGACAGACACGCTAACTGGCCCTGGTTTTCTGTAGAAAGCATACTGCACTCCGCTTTTTTTGGACGCTTGAGTTCTCTGTAGCCTTGGGCAAAAATCCTGAATTTGTAGCATCTTGGTTACTATATGTGTCAAATATGAATTATGTGAAACTGCAGGTCTGTTGCGAGAATCAATTGAGATGCCATATGTCAGTGGTTCTCAATCTTCGGGCTAACCTGGGATGAGGCCCAAGAATTTGAATTTCTAACAAGTTCCCAGGTGCTGTGGCTGCTGCTCTGTACCCCCCATCCCGCCCCCCCCTCCCCTGCTCTCCACCCCCCCACACACACACGCTGAGAGCTCCTGTCACATGTAAGAGAACTACAAATGTGTAGCGCATTCGTGTTGCCATGCAAATCAACGGAGCTAGTCAGTTATATGTTGTTTCTAGGATGCACAGACCTAAAATTTTGGGGGTGCCTTACTGGAAGTATAAGAGATATTCTAGGAACCCCAAAGAGGCACCTACGGGGTTTCCAGTCTCCAGAAGAACCTGAGGCCTGTCAGAGAACCTAGTAGAGTCAGGGGAACCTCTCCCAAGCTGGACACGTGCACCTTTACTGCCCCACATTTTCAGGAATGAGGTTCCCATAAGCAGAGCTCTGGACAGAGAGAGCAGGGTGCGGGGGGCGGGGGGCGCTATGTGCTGGGATGGGCTGCACAGCGGCCAGGCCTAACAACCCGCTGGGAGCCTTCACCTTATTTCCCTTCCTGAGAAAAATCAGGGGCTAATGGAGTCTGGGCTTCCCTCACCGACCCATCCCAAGACCCTGCAGCCTTGCATATGAGCAGGAAGAGAGGGGTCCACCCCATTCCCGCTGGGGAAGGCTGGGGAAGGTGGGAGGTGCGGGCGGACAAAGGCACCTCTCCTACTCCAGGGAACTGACGTTAAGGAGAAAAAGCAAAACTAAAAGGCGATGGGAAGCCTCTGGGTGGACCCCAGGCCTCTTTCCTTATTAATTCAATCCTGAGATGCAAGGGGTGGAGGGCAAAAGCTTCCCTCAGGCCGAGCTCTCTGGACGCCTGGACCTCAGGCCTGAATCTCAGCCCCGGGGCTGCGAGGGAGCTGTGTTCCAGCGGCTTCTAAAAGGCCGAGGGAGGCCGGCATGCTTCCAATTAGCCTTCTGGGGCCCAGCCCCCGGCCTCCACACCAGGCAGTTTATTTGTCTTGCTCTGTGACACTCCTGCCCTCCTCCAGCTGCTGGCGGTTGCTGGCTTGGCTTTGGGTTTCTCCTGCCCGAGGGGGAGCCCCTAGGAGCAAATGCAGCAGCTGTTCCTTCTTGTCCAGAGCTGGCTCTCTCTCTCTCTCTCTCTCTCTCTCTCTCTCTATCTCTCTCTCTCTCTCTCTCTCCTTCTCTCTCCCTCCCCTCCCCTGCCCTGTGGTCTATCTCCATTTATTCTCTTAAGGAACTCAGCAGTTTAGAAGTGGCCAATGTGAAGGTCAGTCTCTGAGACTATTTTGATCCTTTGCTGCCTGCGCAGGTCTTCCAGTGGCTTCTGCACTTCCTGGCCGCCCACCTCCCAGCCTTCCCATTCTTCCATTAACTCCCAAGCTGGGGTAACCAGCCCACTCCATTCCCTGGGGCTCTCAGGCCTCTCCTACCAGTGAGAAGACAGGCCTGAGAGCAGTTTCAGCTCCTGTAGAATCACGGGCTGGGATGGATTCCCAGGGTCCACTAAGACCAGTGCACTGCTTACTGACCAGCTAAGTCAAAGCCCAGCAACTGGCTGGAGGAGACACCTTTTCTCAAAGGTTTTCAAGCAACTAGGTATCCCATCATGAGGCACCTGGGGGTGGGTCTGCCTTAAATCCCTTTGGGCACCGTCTATGTTTCTCTTATATAACAGGCGAATTCCATTTTTCTGGCTGAATATAACACATATTGCTTCAGAAACTTAGAGTTCAAGGCCAAGAGTATGTGTTTGGGAAACCTTTCAAAGGCCTACTTTCTTTTTAATTTTAATTTAAAAAATGTTTTTAGCTTTATTGAGGTGTAATTGACAAATAAAATTATAAGATATTTAAGGTGCACACCATGATGATTACACACACACACACACACATATATATAGGCCTGCTTTCTCATGTTTATCCAGCACATCTTTCAAGATTAGGAGACACATGAGACTCTATTTCTTGATATATTAGACACATAGATCCAAGGAACCCTTTCTATCAATGGCATTTGGGTAGAGTGCTCCTTGGTCCGTCCATTCTTTCAGGCATGGATTCCACAAACATTCACTGAAGAAGGCACTGAGGACTTAAAGGTAAGATGTAACCTTTGCCTTCAAGGATCTTGTGGTTTAGTGCAAGAGGGAGACATGTACAGAGAGGCTATAGCAGTAAGTGCAAATGCTACTTGTCACCTATTTATGTTTGTGGATTTCTAAAAGGTAGACTAAGAGAGGATGGTTAGCCCTAGCCAGTTGGGCTCAGTGGATAGAGTGTGGACTGAAGGGCCCCAGGTTTGATCCCAGTCAAGGGCATATATCTCAGTTGCAGACTTGACCCCTGGCCTTGGTCGGGGCCTATGTAGGAGGCAACCAATCAATGTGTCTCTCTCACATTGATGTTTCTCTCTCTCTGTCTTTCCCTGTCCCTTCCACTCTCTCTAAAAGTCAATGGAAAAATATCCTCGCTTGAGGATTACAAGGAAAAAAAAAAAGAGGGATATACGTATATATGCACATGTGCATATGTGTGAATGCATAAAGTCTCTACAGTTGTTCAAATGCAACCACTGACTACCCACAGGTATGAAAAACACTGGGAAGGGAAAAGGTAGTTGACCAAGCAGGCTTCATTGTTCTAAGGCATAGCGTGAATATGTAAGAAAGTAAATATCAGTGAATAATCATTGGATGGAATATTCATAGACAGAGAGGCAATTGGGTTTTTTTTTTACTGTTTTGATAACCAAGGTGGGTCAGGCCTTAGGGATGAAACATTGACTACATAATAAAATGGGACTTTTAGCAAGGCCTGGTTCTTTTCACTCACTGAATTTCTCTCTCTCTATAGGCCACCCACCCAGTCATACATCAGAGTCAGAGAATCATTGAATTTCACACTTGGAAGAGAAGCTGGCATGAAAGAATGGTTGCGAGTGAATGTTCTATTGAACTAGACTATGTCTGCAGCCAAGCAAAGGGCTTACACTCAAAGAATAAACGCCATTCACTGCACTTTTCTAGACCATGGAGTCTGTTTGGTGGGATATGTTTCCTCTAAGCTTTCAGCCTCAACCTTCAGTTCCCTTCAAGCTTTTGAATTCATAGAGTCTTAGGAGTCTAGTAGCTACAGAACACTTCTCTGCCTCTGGGGTGTTTCCTGCCACTTTCTGAACTTTATAACAACAGGGCTTTCTAACATGTAGAATCTCTGGAAGAAGACCAAGCTGGGCCAGGGCCAGGAGATGGCCAAGCTGCTGGATTGACCATCTGAAAGGGAGGGCCACTCAGATTCACTGGGAACAATGCCAGGCCAAGGTGATCCCCATTTACCTCTGAAATATTGATCCGGCCCTCCTGGAAGGAGCAGGTGGTGGGGTCGTGAGTGCAGAGGTTGCGGTACTTGCACCAATGGCAGCGGAAGGCGCTGTTGACACAAGACAGGCACCTGCAAGGACAAAGACAGTCAGAGGCAAAGAGAAGGACGCAGAGAGAGAGGATAAGGGCACCAGGCAGCCTATGTATCCTGATGTTAGTCTGTGATCATAGTCTCATTCTCAGGAGAGTATATTGATGGGGCAGCCCTCAACACTGATCATTGTGGATTCTCCTTCTAAGCTATTCACAGGACGAGAGAATTGAAAAAAATAAATGAGTCCAGAGTAGAAATATTGTAACTTATGAAGCAGAGGTGTGCTAGAGCTGGCCTGTATCAGTTCATGAGAGCTGGTTATTTATATCCTCAGGAATTTTGCAAGTGGGTTGATAGCTTGAAATCGACCACAGGGAGTATTTACACCACAGGAATTGGCAAACACTAATATGAGGTTCCCTACCCCGGACTGCTGGTGGTTAAACATTTCTTCTAGGACAGGCAAATTCCACTTTTCTGGCTGAATATAACAGATTGCTTCAGAAACTAGGAGTTCAAGACCAAGAGAGTGTGTTTGGGAAACCCTTCAAAGGCCTACTTAGAAGACAAAAAGGCTGAAAGAGCACTGGGGTAGAAACTGGGCAGCTCTGATTCCAGTCTTGCCTCTGCCTCTGCCACTGGGGTCATCCCGAGTCAGTCACTCCACCTTCTGAATAGGAATTTCTTCATCTGTCTGTAATCAAACTTTCCTGGCTCCTCCACAGGGATTTTAGCATCAAACCAGAGAATGCATAGGAAATGGTTTTGAAAAACACAATGCTAAATGTATTATTTTCAAGCCCTTAAATGACCTGTTATTTCAAACTCTCAAATCATATTTGTTAATGATTGGTTCACATCACTTGTGTTCCTGAGTGCTGGGAGTTAAACAGTATTAAATGGAAACGTTGGCTCTCCAAGTAGCCAGGCATAGGTGGCAATAGGCTGTGTGACTCATGCATTTTTGCCAGGGCGAGCGCTTCCCTCCCTGCTGTTGTACCTGCAGGATGTGCATATTATTTGGCTCTCTGTGTATGACCGGACCATTATAATGGGAATGGATTCTGTAACCTGGGGTTGGTCTTCCTGCCCCTCCACAGCTTCCCTAGCCTAGCCTTTCATGACCGGACAACCTGGAAGGGACATGGCGGGTCTGCAGTCTGGCACCACCTGGTGGGGGCTCTCATTACACTTGGGTGGATGGGGCTCCATCCCTGGGGGCCATTGGCTGTGTGTGTTGGGTGCGTTAGCCAACTGCATTCATTTCCCCCTTGGTGATCATTTGTTTCCCCTCCCGATATGCCCAAAGTGACTTCATTTATGAGCTTAGGCCAGATTGACTGATTCTTGCTAACACCTTACGATTCAGCAAGTAAATAATGACAATGGTCCAAGGATGATGACATGGGGTCTAAGCCTGGCTCTTCCACTGACTAATTTTGTGCCTTTGAAGCACTTGTCCTCCGCAGGCCTCAGTTTCTCACACTAAAAGGAGAGATTGAACTTGGTTCTGTGACTTGTTACTATGAATGCCAAGAGAGATAGTTTTTGGTAATAAAAGGATGGAACCCGTTCTGTCAAGGAGACCTGCTCTTTTGTCTTTCCTAAAACTTGCTGCTTGGGACAGCATCTCTGTTGCCATAGCAATGCATGGTTGAAAGTGGTGACATCACACTGGACTGCCATGGAGGTGAGAATGCGCTCACAAACAGTGGGTTCCATCACCACTGTGTTGGAGTTTGAGAAGAAGGTTGGGAGGTTCTTTTCCCAAGATGTTTGCATTTCCCAGAACAGGGATAGCTGGGATTTGAATGCAGTGGTTAGTGGGCAATGTTGTCTGTTTTGACTTCAGCCCTATTGCCCTGGCTCCTCCCCCCGGACCATTTTTAACACTTGTCCTTTCTCAGCACATCTGTTGACTTGTCCCAATGGGGCTCAGCCATGTCTCCTTCCTTAACTACTGTGGAGGCCCTAGAACTCTAGCAGATGATTCTAATCATCAAAATCAAGAGCAGGGAAAAGAGAATGAAGACTGGCTCATTGGTCTATTTCAGTGGTCAGCAAACTGCAGCTGGCGAGCCACATGCGGCTCTTTGGCCCCTTGAGTGTGGCTCTTCCACAAAATACCACGTGCAGGCGCGCATGTACAGTGCGACTGAAACTTCGTGGCCCATGCGCAGAAGTCGGTATTTTGTGGAAGAGCCACACTCAAGGGGCCAAAGAGCCATATGTGGCTCGAGAGCTGCAGTTTGCCGACCACTGGTCTATTTTAAGGGCTAAAGATTCCTCTCAGGTTTAGCTGCAAACAGACCATCTCCCCTGTGGATGCTGAGCCCACCATGCCCACCCTATAGACTTGATGCCTTGGACTTCTGCTTACTATGTAGACCCCAGGCTGTTCTTGTCCCAAACAATGGGAAGGATGGGTCCACAGAATATTCCTAATTACTGCTTCCTCTGGTATGGAGTTGTTTGATCTCACTCCTTGATGAATGTCCAAGGTCACTGGTCCCTTGACCATTGTTCCCACTTTGTATGAAAGAAGTCTCAGTTTCTTTCCCAAAGAGGCTCAGCAGAAACTGAATGTGGGTCCATTTGTCCACTGCCACTGGCTCCTCCAGCTTCCTGAGCAGCTGTAGGATCTCATAGCTTGTGGGCACCCACTGGTAGGCAATCTGCTGTTGTAGAAGCTGGTGAAGTCAGCTGGGCTGCATTCAAGGCCCTCTGGAGGCTAGGGTTTAGTCTGGCTCCCACCGCCTTCTTAAAAAGTTGAAGGCTGGGTTCGAAACCCAGTGGAGTTAAAGCCTCCTCTCCCTCTCCCAGCCCAGGTTCTGATCCCGGGTGCTGAGCAAGGCTATGGCCCCATCCCTGTCCCTCCTCTGGGGGTAACTGCATGCATAGCTGAGTCAGTTATCTGAGTCCTTCTTCATTTGGTCATGGATGACATGTCTAACTCTACTCACTGTCAATCTCTATGTTCAAATGCACCACCAACTGGTCAGAAATGAAGACTTTTTCTTATGGTTCTAGACCCGTGGTCGGCAAACTGCAGCTCACAAGCCACATGCGGCTCTTTGGCCCCTTGAGTGTGGCTCTTCCTAAGCCTTAGGAGTACCCTAATTAAGTTAATAACAATGTACCTACCTATATAGTTTAAGTTTAAAAAATCTGGCTCTCAAAAGAAATTTTGATCGTTGTACTGTTGATATTTGGCTCTGTTGACCAATGAGTTTGTCGACCACTGTTCTAGACCATGATCTTTGTCTTTACTTCAAACCTTCTTTTTACTCTCTTAGCTTGAGAGCTGGGGGTAGGGTTGTTGGGGGGCGGGGGCGGGAAGGGCAGGCAAGGGAGTCTGAATGAGACCCGAGGCTCTGGTCTGTGACTGCCATTCAGATGAATGTAACTGAATAAACTGAACGGAACGGGAAAGTAACCTTGATGGAGAGCTTCCCCTGTTCCAGACAATGTACTGGGCCCCGTAGGAAGACCGGGAGGTGAAGATGACATGATTCAAGCTCAGAGAAACCCCACACCCACATCCAGACCCAGGGCAAGGCTCTGACAAGGACTTACAGTTGGTGGGCGCTACAGTTGTAGAACTTGAACTCGGTGCTGACAAATATCTTCCCTGTCTCCTTGGATCTCAGCTGCAGTTCTAGCCCAAACCAGTCTGGAAAAATAAAGGACAAAAGATGGAGGTGACAACCTGCGGGCCCAGTGGAGACCCTGGGGGTAAATCATTCCGCTATCTCAGGGCTCGCGGGGCACAGGTGGTAGATAGCACCTGCCTGAGTCATCTCTTCAGAGTCCCTTTCATCCTGCTGAGAGCCAGGCAGCCCCACACCTGGCTTAGGGAGGAAGTCATCAGTCACAACCCACAGAGCCCAGCCTTTGGTCTGGCAAGTTCAGCGACTGAAACACTTTGAGAAGGATTAAGCCAGAACCCCTCAAGCCTCCAGTTCTGTGGAGAGAACCCCACTGGAAACCACCGGCTAAAGCCACAGCCATTCCAAGAAGGGAAGGGAAGTCTAGAAAAATGCTTTGCACACCAATGCAGCCTTAACTCAAATGGGAGCAAGGGATTTCCTTCTTCCTCAGTTTCTCTTTGGGGCATGTCAGTTTGCTCTCAAACTCGTTATATAGCCCATTTGGGTGTTGGGCACAAGGAGACTTGGTCAGGCAACTTCTGTGCCGGTACTTGTTACCTGGTTCCCTGCGTGCTCTACTCCTGGTCCCCCTTGGAGGGCAGGCCCTACCATGTGACTCTCATGGCAGACACTTCTTACCTTGATCCAATGGGATGACAGGAACATCCTTAGGCCCAGGTGAGATGCAGATGACTTTGGTCCCGGACACCTGTCCCTCCACTTCTGTCAGGTTTCCGAAGGCACATTTGATGCCCGCAGACAGATCTGGAGCATCATTCACAACCAGGCTGAGCTGTGGGAGGAGCAAAGAGGCTCAGAAGCAAAGAGCTGATGCCCTTGGAAGAGCCCCAGGGGCGTGGAGACCTGGCCCTAGTCCTGGCCCTGCCATTGCCGCCGCCTCACTAATCTCCCCTGACTTCATCTGTAAGAAAGGATGCTGATGTCGGTGATCTGGCTTTGACATTGAACAATTACAGCAGCGCTGCCAGGGTCAATGGTCTTTATTAATGTTATTATGAATTACTGGGGTGGGGTGCCCTCGGGGGAAAGGTACCCAAATCCATCTCAGACACAGCTAATTTTGACATGAAGCCACGCAAGCTTGAAAGCGAGTCACGAGCTGAGCCCTTCACAAGCTGTAGCCTTGGCTCCTCGGAGAGTAAGTGTCACCAAACTGGAGGTTCCCAGGAGCTCACCAGGTTGGTGAGAGACAGCCAGCTCCTCACCCTGGCTGTCCTTCGGGGTTCAGGGGCTGCTTATCAATGGGGTGAACGTGTTCAAGTTTCTGTTTATCTGTCCCTCTTGGGCTCCGGCCTGCTGACAGCTCCCCTGGAGGGGCAGTCACTTCCCAGGGTTCAGAGAGGATGAGAGAAAGCAGGGAATGGGTGCCAGTGGCATGGATGATGTCAGCTGTTACCTGGAACAGCTTCCAGAGACCTAGGCCAGTGGTAGCCAGCCTTTTCCAGTGTGAACACCCTCCTGGGAACGGTAAAAACGTCCCCGACTGCCCGATTGCCAGAAGAATCTGCTGCTTGAGAAACCATTTAATGGCAAGATGCTGTGCTGAATTCAGTGCACTTGGAAGTGAGCTTGTACTCAATGACCACAATATCACCTCTAAGTGGTATTTAAAACAATATGTGAGAAATGAGACCGGCTCCCTCTGGCAGTGGGAGGTGCCCATAAGGGGTCACAGTGACATACATCAGCCCTATGGCCTCTGTGTTGGGAGCCGTGAGGTCGATGGGCCTCCCTGTGTCTTCCTACGGGCACCTGGCGGGATTTAGCAGCAGTGGGCTTCGCAGTCACAGTGGGTGTCCCCTCGCCTTCCCATACATTTGCTTGCCGCTGAATCCCTGCCCCAGTTTCGTTTCCATGGGGCCCGGAGACTTAGGTACAAACTCCGCTATTTGTTCCCTCAGCTCCCTGGGAGCCGAAACCTCCCCGTGGGGATGAATGAACGGGAATCTTGGAAGGTTCATTAACTAATTAACATTCGTGAATGCTCATAAAACTTCAGAATGAAATAATTGTGCAGGGCCCGAGGACATGAGATATTTGGGGTTGCACTGGTTAAGGGCTATTGTCTTCTCTTTAATATTCTCTTTGAAGCACACACACATACTGTGAATTAAGTCTGTCTCTGTTCCTCTCTCACACACACACGCACACACACACAAATGCAACTCTCAGGTTTCTGTGAGAGGCTGTATGGGTGGAGGATTATAAATACAGCATCTACCAAAGAATGCGTTATCTGCTATCGGATTGCAGGATGTTGTAGATGTTGGCTGCTAAATGCAAAATCGAGGTTTACAAAACAGATCAATGGATAATGAATTTGCAAGGAGTATGCAGGATGACTGTGCCCTTTACAAAAGCAGTTGCCGCGGGTTTTCTATAAATACAGTTCCCGTGGAGCATGTAAAGCACGATCCATTTACAGCTTCCTGCACGAGTGTTAAAGGAACCCGCCCACACGCGTGTGTGCTCCGTGTCCCCCTGTCCTCCTGGTTGAGTGACTTACCTGCCGGCTGTGCTCAGACACTGAGATGCTGCTGGGACGCACCTCGAGGCTCATGCACTGGCTGATGCTGGCAGCAAATCGATTGGGTTCCCAGGCCCGTTGGCACTTGTCCCTGCGGGAGCACCTGCCACAGACACAGATTCGCAAGAGGTCAGGCCTGCGGGAACCCTCTGTTGGGCTCCATTGTCCCCTAGGCGTAAGCAAGAGGGGTTTGCTGCTCTGAGGCCTGTGGCTGGTCCCCTCATTACCACGTTCTCTCATCCCAGAGGCTTGGGTGCCTCCCAGATGGTCTCTATTGCAGTGAAAGGCAGGCTAGGAGGAAGTGGGATTAACTCCCAGAATGAGAGATTCCGTTTAGACACAAAGCATAGCTCTAGTCAGCATCTTTAGAGGTTTCTCAATGAGCCAGGGAGGGGAGGTGGGGACCATGAGTGCACAGGAGGCTAAGAACATAAACTTTGGGGCCAGGCGAGCTGGGTTCTAATCCAGATCAATTGCACGCTGGCTGTGGCCCTTTGGGCAAATTATTTAATCTCTCCGTGTCTCAGTTTCCCCAACTGTAAAATGTTGACCTTATCTCGTAGGGTTGTGGTAAGGATTACATGAGTTATTGCTTAGAAAATGGCTTCCTGGCCCCTGTAATAATATCAATAATGACTATTACTATCCTTCTCCGGGGATATCTGAAAGTCTGCCCAGGGTCTTAGCTGTGTGGGACAACATACATGCGATCTTGTGGCTGGGTGAATGGCTTTCTGAAGGCAGGGGCCGTGTTTTATTCACTGAGATACTCTACCTGTCACGCGGCACATTTTAAATAGATGTGTGTGGTGTGAAATAATGCCTGGAGACAGGGAGACAGACGAGGAGTCGCAGGCAGGGCTGCCTCTGTCAGAATACTGTGTGGCTGTTTCCCGACAACTTTATCTCTGGCTCCCGGCGCCTCGGCCCACGGTGGCAGGTGGGCACCATGGCATCTCCACACAGGGGCATGTGGTTGTCACTTATGTCACACGGAAACACGCTGGTGCTTCCCCAAACTAATAGCCAGGGGACACAGCCGGGACAGTACCAGATTCCCCACTGCAGGGGGGGGGGGGGGGGGCGGAGCAGTGATTCCCACGGAACTCCTCCGCCCTTCCCCCTCTTTCTTTCCAGGCACATAATGGATCTAAATATGAATGCTGTCACAGAAAAGAATTATGGAGGTTTAAGTGAATCCTTAAGATAGCTCTAAAGCGAGCTCTTGACTGGAGCCTTTATCTCATTGACTCGCTGAAATGGCTCTTTTTTATCATACTATTTATGGCACCAGCCCTAACAGAGATAAATAGCCCTGGAGACAATAACACACTCGCAAGAGCAAGGCACACAGAAGAGACAGGAAGGTTGCGAATCCCCCGGGACCCAGAGCTTCTTGAGCAATCTCCCTCAGCCCTCTGCCTCCGCTGAAGTCCAGCGTGTGGGCCCGCGGGCTGAGCTGGGCCCTTCTCCTCCTTCCCTCCCCCAGGCAGGCTGGTGGTGGCCTGTGGGAAGGGTGGCAGGAGGGGCTGGTGAAGAAGAGAGAAGAAAGCTCTGAGTATGACCAGGAAAAAGCTTGCTCCCTGCCTACTCTTGGCAGGCAGAGTGGCTGGAAGGAGGGGTGTGCCCTGGTAGGTGGCAGGGCGTCTCTGAGGACAGGTAAGCAGTTCAGACGGCAAAGGAGATCTGAGACTATGATGACGTGGCTCAGTCATTCTAGAAGCCACATCTGGCCTGGAGGGTGACAGGGGTGGGCCGGAGCCACCAGGAGGCTCCGGCATTGCCGAAAGGTTTGTGGGCACACCTACAAGTTGAGGGATGTGGATGTCCTCGCTGCTGAACGGATGGCAATCCTCCGTCCATAGCTTTGGTGTGTTCTACCTGGGAGAAGTGATGCTAGCAGGAGCTGGTGGCCAAGGCAGGGGCAGCAGGGAGTGAGTGGTACAGTTGGACATGCCCACTGCCCAGTGAGAGGGCAGGTACCCGGGGCACGCTGCGTGGCTGTCGGGTTCTTTGGAGGGAGAACTCCTCTGGAGGAGAGAGGCCACTGGGCAGGTCAGCCTCACAGGAGGGAACCCAATTTTAGGCACCTTTGCCATTCCTGGGCCACAACAGGGATGTCACCAGCCATCTTCATCCCTTGCCTGCCCTTAATGGGGACTCCATGTACGGGTTCCAGTGCAAGCATTTTTATGCAAAACTTTTTTTTTGCAAACCCAAGCGGGGAACCCAGTATTTGTGGGCTCAGATCCAGTCCAGATTTTGCATCTGCGAGGCGCCTGCTTCCCTCTCTCCCTCCGTAGCCCTCCCAACACCTGCTGCAGAGGCTGGGAGCCAAGAGCTATTGTGCGGCCCCTGAACTCTGGCCCCCGCCTCCGCCTCAGCCCCAAACCCAAACCCGGCGCATTTCATAGAGATGCTTTGCTGGCTGGCACCGAGCCACAGAGTTTCCAACTCCGCTGGGGAACAGAATTCCTAGTCAGCGCCTGCCTTTCAGGGTTTCACCCTTTTCTCTCCCTCTGCGGCTCTTCAAATTCAGAAATTTAAGTGTAACTTTGCATTTCTATGGAGCTGGCATTCAATGGCTGGTGTGTGTGTCTGTGTAACTAAATTGGGATATGTGGCCAGTAGGAGTGGGAGGCAGACTTCTTGGAATCCTGAAATAATGAGGCCAGAAGGGTGCCCCTGAGTTCAGGGCCCATAGGCATTATTTTGATTTGTGCAGCTTATTCTGGGCTTCCTCGTTTCCAGAGCGTTTATTATCTCATTTAATCCTCACAATTCACCTATGAGGTAGGTAGGCACTGTCCCTATTGAGTGACAGGGGCTCAGAGGAGTCAGTGGACCACCCTGGGCCCACAGCAGCTCCGTGGAGTCCAAAGTCCCGACTCTACTGCACGGCCATCTGCACACTTGCAACAGGAGACACCTGCTCAGGCTGCCCCAGAAGGTTCCAGAAGGTTCTCAGGAAACCTAGAGATTCTACAGCTTCCCGCTCGAGATTTTCCCAAACCATTACCCTTTCCGTACTGAGGAGGTACAGACTCAGAGCGGCGGGGAGGGCAGGCTTTACAAGTGCAATGAAAGAGCCCGGCCAGCATGTCTCAGGGGTTGAGCTTTGACGCTATGAACCAGGAGGTCGCGGTTTGATTCCCCACCAGGGCACATGCCTGGGTTGCAGGCTCGATCCCCAGTAGGGGGCATGCAGGAGGCAGCCGATCAATGATTCTCTCGCATCATTGTTGTTTCTATCTCTCTCTCCCTCTGCCTTCCCCTCTGCAATAAATAATAAATATATATTTATAGATATTAAAGTGCAATGAAAGACAGAGAGGCAAAGGCGTTGCGTGGGAGGAGGCCCCCCATGACCTGTCTTCCTCTTGCTGCTCCCGGCACAGCAGAGGAAAAGCCCTCCCTCCCTGCAAACCGCTGTCACATCCCTCGTCAACACTCCCAGGAAAGTACCTGGTCTTGTGCATTCCCGGCCCTTTCTCAGAACAGTCCCCAACTTACATGTTGTGCAGGGCACACCAGCCACAGTGAGGGTCCCCCGAGCTCAGGCACTCCCCACAAGTCGTGTACTGCTCACAGGATTCCACGGGGACCCTGGTGATCTGGTGGAGAGAGGAGAGATCATGGTTAGATCTGGTAGCGCCGCCTTGCCGATGTGCGTTCAGACTCGGCTACAATCTCCCCACACTTGCACCGTCACCACCCCTAAAGGGGAGACACTGGGGGGCATTTTGGTGGCCTCCATGTTCTCATCTGTTGGCCTGGCACAGGTAGGAGGCACAGCTAAGCCGACTGCGTTTCTCAGGTGGCAGGTCCAGGCTTCCTGCCTTCCCAGCAATGAGGCAAAACCTCAGTGTCCTTCTGCCCGCACTACAGTCCTCGCGAGAGCTGGGCTTCTCCTGCCAAGTGCTGAAAGCGGTTAACTCTGTTAAAAGGCTATCGCGTGCCTCCAACTCGTCTCTGAAGAGCTTTCAGCTGGGCTTGGGCTGAGACATCCTGCCTGCACAGAACACACTCGAAAAGGGAGAGGAGGAGAAACTTTTCCTATCAAATAATATTCATCATGTGGCACAGTCTCTTTACAGCCGACCAAACATACCACCTGGATCCAATTATCCCCATTCTCTGATGTCTGAATTCCGTTTCTTTAGTAAATGTCCCAGCATCTGAAAAGTCTGGCTAAATGGGAACATCCACAGAGAGGAGCTGCCTTTCTGGGGAAAGTGGGGGTTTTCAGATCAAGCTTCCCACGCCCTCCCTCCCCCACCTCCAACCCCCCAAGACTGCAGCCCCTGCCAACTCCTCCTGGCATCCCGGTTGTGTCCTGCCGGGCTTGAGCTGGGCCTGTTTGGACATTACTCACCCCTCCATGCCCAGCGTGTGCGACATTAAGGCTGGGCAGGAGGGGCAGGGGGTTGAAGTTTTCCAGTTGATATGTCCTAGGTATCTGTTGCTGGCTGGGGCAGGAGGCCGCGGGGCCGCAGAAACATCTACTAGTAATGGGCTGGGAATAGCTCTTCATTTGTTAGGGCGTAGAGGTCCCCCACCTACTGGATGTGTGAGCTCAAGTGAAAACACAACCTCTGGTCCAGCAGCACAGTGTTCCGCCTCTGGCAGGGGCAAAGGAGCTGATGGAGATGCCTTACAGCATCCTCCCGAGAGGCTGGGAGGGAGCCTGACGCTGCTCTTGCAGCAGATGTTCAATAGATGTCACTGTATGGAGGCTCGGACGCTACGCTCGAGAGAAACAACAGCAAACTGGACACAGATCCTGCCCCCGCAGGGCCCACGGTCCAGTGGGAGTTGGAAATGACAAACCAAGTTGCTCTCCACTGTGCCTGGGATGGGTGTGTGCCCTGGTTGATTAAAAAAGGGGTACCCAGTACAACCTGCCGGGAGGAAGGATGGAAAGGCGAGTGGGGAAACAATGGGCCTAGAACAGTGGACGGCAAACTGCGGCTCTCGAGCCACATGCGGCTCTTTGGCACCTTGAGTGTGGCCATGAAGTTTCAATCGCACTGTATGTGCGCGCCCGCACGTGGTATTTTGTGGAAGAGCCACACTCAAGGGGCCACAGTTTGCTGACCACTGGCCTAGAAGGGCATTCCAAGCTGAAAGACCATCACCCACATAAGTAATCAAGCTCAGTACGCGCACGTGTAGGGTGCGCCCTGGATGGGCGGGGTGGAGATGAGGCGGGTGGGATGTAAGCAAGGGCCCAATGACCAAAGGCGCCAGCCTCACGAGCCTTCCTTTTGCTCTGTTGCCCCCTCCCCCCTATGCTTACAAATAACACTTAAGATTCTCTATTTCAAGGCCTTCCTGTTAGTGAGTGACATGATCCGCTTAAACTTCCCTAACCTTCCATTAATCACAAAAATAGAAAATGCAAGAAGGAGAAATGCAAAATCCTGCAGTTTGATTTTAAAAAATTCCTCCTTTAAGTGGAGGCTGGGGGATAGCTGGTTTGAAACAGCTCATGCGGAAGAGACCTGAGGGTTTGCGTCGACTCTATGCCCAACACGACCTGACACAGCGATGGAATAGCTGGAGGGGCTAATTTGCTCACGGGCTGCGGAAACAGGCACAATGTCAAGGCTGAGAGAGGCCGCCCCACAGGGGGCTCCCCGCTCAGGTCTTTGCACCTCCCTCCCCCGACGAGGGGTGTTGCTCAACCAAGGATCCTTCCCAGAGGGAGGTCACAATGGGTGGACCTGGATGTGGCATCGCAAGTACAGCGGATGGACTTGGCCTGTTTCTTTGGCTCAAAAAAGACGAATCTCAGGTTGGCCATGGAGGCTGTTTTTCAATGTGTGAAGGGCAGCAGTGTGGCTGCAATAAGACTCAGGTGAAAAGTGTTAGGAAAGCTCAACAGAAGAAAGGCAAGGCTGTGCAATAATGCACCGGACCTCCCTTCCGGAGGAGCGCCCCCCAGTGGGATGTGTAAGCAGTTAAAGTGACCTGTGTTGTCGGGGGACTGTGAAGGGATTCCTGCCCTCCAAGGGGGCTGATCTAGTCCTTCCACTTCTGCCACTCGGGATTCGGTTTCTCACTGTTTACCTAACTCTGCCCTGACACTGGTTATGCTTTTTGTCCTGTATAACTTGTACAGTTAAAAGGTAATATCCAGCCATCGCCACCAGCCATGGATAGCACATTGCTTTAAGCACAGTGGTTCTCAACCTTCCTAATGCTGGGACCCTTTAATACAGTTCCTCATGTTGTAGTGACCCCCAATTTCATTGTTACAAATTGAACATAATTAAAGCATAGTGATTAATCACAAAAACAACATGTAATTATAGATGTGTTTTCCGATGGTCTTAGGCAACCCCTGTGAAAGGGTCGTTCGACCCCCAAAGGGGTCGCGACCCACAGGTTGAGAACCGCTGCTTTAAGGAGTAACCCTTGACCTCTGACTCCAGGCCTGCGATTCCTACCAGGAGCACCTTTCTGACAGGTGCTTGCCATACACTGTCCTAGTGTGCCTCTCCGGGCCTGGGACTCAGCCCTTGGGGATATCTGTGACCCCGGCCGCCCGCTGGGCTTCCGCCTGGCCCCCTCCCACCCACCCTCCCAGGCCTGAGAGCAGCAGCCCAGTGCCCGGCCTTTCTTTCTTGGGTTTCAGGTTCCATGTGAGTGATGTCTGCATCTGGCTGGAAATTAAAACAACTGTCTGCATTGCATTCGGCCCGTCTGTCAAAACACAGCCCGGCTCTCAGCAGCTGGGCAAGGGGGCCCTGAATGGGAGCAGTGTCTCCATCAACAAAGCCCACTTTCACGCCAAGTGCCATGGAGATAGTGAGAACCCTGTTCTTCTCCAAACATGAAACCAATAGCACAACTATTTTTCCTGTTTCCTGGGCCCTCCTGGTGGGAATTTTTTTTTTTTTTTTAATGCACTGAGTTGAAGAGCAAAGCGAAACAGGAAACTTATTGGGGTGAGGGGGGCGGTTCTAAAACATGAATGTCTCTCTCCTCAAAGATCTAACAGCCACATATAAACCAGGCACAGGGAGGAGGAGACCTTCAGAGTCAGATGTTCGTTACCACGGGCTCCCTGTCTTCGCTATATTCTCGGGCCGTGACAGTCATTCATCACTCAGCAGCCAATATTCACTGATCATGTCCTACACACAGGCCCACACCAAGCGCTTCAGGGGACTAAAAACAGCAGCAGCATTAAAACACAGCCATCATCTTCAAGCTGCAAAGTGACCTGTGTTCTAACAGAGGCGCGGAAAGAAGGCCGAGGGAATTCAGAGCAAAGAGAAAATACATCTGCATCGGCAGTGTCCAATGTGACAGCCACTCGCCCATGTGGCCGTGAGCATCCGGAAGGTGGCCAGCCCTGACTGAGATGTGCCAGAGACTCACAGTACACACTGGCGTTTGAAGATGTCTTACGGAAAAAAAAGAATGTAAAATACCACATTAATGATTTTTATCGACATGTTGAAAAGAAAAATTTAGTAAATACTAGGCTAAATAAAATTAATTTTAATTTCAGCTGCTGCTTCTCACTTTTTAAAAATATGTCTGCCAGCCCTAGCCAGTTTTGCTCAGTTGGCCTGCAGACTGAAGGGTCCTGGGTTCAATTCCGGTCAAGGGCACATGCCCGGGTTGTGGGCTTGATCCTCAGTGTGGGGCGTGCAGAAGGCAGCTAATCAATGATTCCCTTTTATCGTTGACGTTTCTATCCCTCTCTCCCTCTCCCTTCTTCTCTGACATCAATAAAAATGTATTAAAAAATAATTTAAAATATGTCTGCCAGCAAAGTTAAAATTACACACGTGGCTTACATTTCGCTCGCCTTTTAGTTCTGTGGGACAGCCCTGGACTAGATCAGAGTCCCAAGAAGGTGTCATGAGGGACACAGCACGTGTTGTGAATGATGTCTGCCCAGATGAAGCGGGTTCCAGGTGGAAAGAACCGCCTGAGCAGACATAGGAGAGCAGAGTGTCCTCAGAAAACCTGGCGTGAGGGCCAGGGAGCAATGGCTACACATCGGGAAGGACGGAGGAGACCACAAAGCTGGAATATATAAAGTCCTTGGTCAAAAGAATGTCCTTCAAAAAGAGGTGGCCTTGCCTGGCTGGTGTGGCTCAGTGGTTGAACGTCGACCTATGAACCAGGAGGTCACGGTTCCATTCTTGGTCCGGACACATGTAGGGTTGCAGGCTCAATCCCCAGTAGGGGGTGTGCAGGAGGCTGCTGATCAATGATGATCTCTCTCACCATTGATGTTTCTATCTTTCTCCCTTTCTCTCTGAAATATATATATATATATATATATATATATATATATATATATATATATATATATATATTTAAAAGAGGTGGCCTTGTGGTTCTTAAGGACCAATGGCTCTCAAGGCATGGGTCTCAGACCAGTACTCTTGGCATTAACTTGTGCCTTATGAGACAGAAAAGCCAGAGTTCACTGCACCAGAAACTTTGGGATGGTCCCAAAACATTCTCACAGCTTTCCAGCTGATGCCTATGAACGCTAAAGTTGGAGAACCACTGATAGAGACCATCTCACATCTTGGGGAGATCTTGTTAAATGCTAGGGCTCTGGAGCCAGGAAGAAATGGAATGA